ACTGAACTAATGATAAAATGAAGAAAACATAAATTTCTTGATTCCTTAGAGGGGCCAATGTATATTAACTATGGAAAGTAATGCATACGCAAAGAAAATAGAAATTTCTAAAGAACTACTTTGTGTAGATGCTTCTGACAAGTTGGTGGGGTACTATTTTTCTCTCGTTATCAAGCTTGGAGTTTTATAGACAATACGTAAAGAAGCATGGATTTAGTGCATGATGAGGAATAATACGGTTGGATAAGGAAGTCAACGTGAAGTCAAAAGAATTTTGTTGTTTAAAACAAAGGTTTCATAAATCTAAAGTAAATAATGTTGCTCATTAACGTACTCATCGGGCAGTGACGAGAATCAGATGCAATGCTAGAATAGTAGTTTATGCAATAGAAACTGAAGATCAATGGGTTGGCAGTAAAACTATTACTAACAATAATCATGAATTATGCACACCTCTCATGACACAATTTTTATGTTCAAATAGAGATGTCACTGTCGCTGATCTGGAAGAAGCAACTGTTTTGAAAGACATTGGTGTTGGGACATCATAGGTCATGAATTATTTATCACACCAAGCAAGGGGTTATCATAATGTGGGCTTCATATAGAAAGGCCTCTATAATGCACTTGAAAGGGGTAAAACAAAAGAAATTATTGATGGCGATGCAAATGAAGTGATATCCTACTTCGATTTCAAGAAACAAGATGATCCTAGCTTTTTTATGACTTATTTAGTTGATGGATCAGGAGCTTTGCACAATCTTATATGGACTGATTCAACATCAAGATCAGACTACACCTGTTTCGATGATGTAATTGCTTTCGACATAATTTTTAAAGATAATTTATATGGTCGACCAATAATGCCTATTATTGGTGTAAATAATCATCATACCAAAATAGTATTTTCTACCTGGGTTGCCTGTTTTGTGATGTTTAATAATTATATGAAATGTTGGAATTCCTTAAATTAAGCAGATTTTCTACCTTAGTTCTAGGAATTTCCTTGTACTATTAGCCATAATCTAATTACTATTTTTTAGGGATAGACTAATTTCTAGAGATTATTTCTTCTTTTTTTATTTTTCTACTATTTTTTAAAAAGGTTGTATTCATATTAGAAAAAACAAAATTATTTCTTCTTCCTAAACGTGTTTATGGTATCAGAGCTTTAGGATTCATTCGATCCTACTCATTCGTCTCTCATCTCTCTTCCTAAATTTTTTTTAGTTTTCCTTCTCTCATGGGTGATATAAATGAAACCCTGTCTGAGATTGAGATCTCACAGATAACTCAAAATCACAGCCAATGAATCTCTCATGCTGACCTTAACTATTCTCTTATAATCACAAATCATAGGTTAGATGGAAAAAATTTCCTGCAATATTCACAATATGTCCTTATGGTTCTTCGTGGCCGAGGAAAAATTGGGTACATTAATGGAGAAATTCCTCGACCAGCATCAACAGTCTCTGGTTATGCAACGTGGGAGCTTACCAAGGATGAAAAAGTACTTGTTGGATTTTCTACTTTTGGTTTTGTGGTTCAGGAACATGAATCAGGGAAGATGATTTGCACTGTTAAAGTTGATGATGACTTATATGTTTGGAACAAAAACAATTCATAAGAAGGGATGGCCTTATCTACATCAAAAGAAGATTCTATCATGCTATGGCACCGTAGACTATGACACCCGAATTTCATGTACTTGAAGAAACTGTTTCCTCTACTATTTCTAAATAAGAAAAGAAGTTCCTTGAATTGTGAAGTTTTGCCAACTGTCTAAACATACTCGTGTCCTTTATCATTTGAAACCTTATGTTTAATCTCAACCTTTCTCTTTAATCCACAGTGATATATGGGGAGCTAGTCGAGTAAAAAACATCACAGGGGCTAGGTGGTTCATAACTTTCATTGATGACCACACTAGAGTTTGTTGGGTCTATCTCTTCAAAGAAAAAACCGAAGTCTCTAGAGTCTTCCAAAATTTTCATTCAATGATTCGAACCCAGTTCAATTCCAAAATTCACACTCTTAGAACTGATAATGGGAGAGAGTACTTTAATTCTATCCTAAGTCCTTATCTTTTTGAGCAAGGAATCATACATCAAAGTTCTTGTCTTGGCACCCTTCAACAAAACGGGATTTTCGAGAGGAAAAACAGACACCTTGTAGCCGTGGCTCGTGCCCTTATGTTTAGTATGGGTGTACCAAAGTATTTATGGGGAGAAGTTCTCACTGTTTGTTATCTTATAAATCGACTCCCATCAAAGGTATTAAACTTTCAAACACCTTTACATACTCTTCAAAAAAAATTTCCCTTGTTTCGTGTTCCTAATCTCCCAACCAAAATTTTTGGTTGCAAAGCATTTGTCCACAACCATCAACCTAACCGATCTAAACTTGGTCCTAGAGCCGACACTTGTGTCTTTATTGGTTACTCACCTACACAAAAAGGTTACAAGTGCGACTCTCTAACCTTATACTGGATGTTTGTGTCCATTGATGTTACTTTCTTAAAAAACGAGCCATATTTTTTAGCCCCTCATCTTCAGGGGGAGATATTTAGTGAAGATGAGACCTTGAACAATCTTCTCATTATACCTCAAGACTCTATCAGCCCTACCACCACTACAAAACCTGCTGAAAATCCTACAACCATTATAATTCCTGCTTTGGACCCTATTTTTCCTATCTCCACTATACAACAACAAGAAACAAGGGTGATTAACCATACTAATGAAGAAAAAAACCCTCTCATTCTGAAAAACAATAATAAAAAACTCGGCGGGTTCATGTATACTCTCGGAAACATCAGCTTCCAGAGACTGAAACAGTAGTTCCAATGCCATCTTTACCCGAGGACTGCCCTGGGGAAGAAGTCTCACCTCCTTCACCTTCCATCTATCTTCCAATTGCAATAAAAAAGGGCACTAGGAGCTACACTTAACATCCTATTTCTCGGTTTGTATCCTATGGAAACTTATCTAAATCCTACAATGCCTTTGTTTCTAATGTTGACTCTGTAGAAACTCCAAAGAACATAGAAGAGACTCTTAAGTCAACCAAATAGAGGCAAGCTATGTTGGAAGAAATAAAGGCTCTTGAAGACAATGAAACTTGGGAAATATCTAAACTACCTACTGGGAAGAATACCTTGGGTTGTAAGTGGACTTTCACTACAAAATTTAAACCAGATGGGAGCATTGATCGATACAAGGCTAGACTTCTGGCCAGGGGTTTCACTCAAACATATAGGTTGGACTACGAGGAAACATTTGCACCAGTGGTCAAACTGAATACTATTCGAGTGCTTCTCTCAATTGCTGTCAACTTATAATGGCCTTTGATCCAATTGGATGTAAAGAACACTTTTCTCAAGGGAGAATTAAATGAAGAAGTCTACATGGATTTTCTGCCCGGATTCGAAGGAAGCAAGAGCCAAGTATGCAAGTTGAAGAAGTCATTGTATAGACTAAGCAATCCCCTAGGGCTTGGTTTAATCGTTTTGCCAAAGCCATGACTAGTAGACATTATATTCAAGATCAAGCTGATCACATTTTATTCTACAAACACTCGGATAATGGAAAGTGTTGTATTCTCATTGTATATGTAGATGACATAATATTGACAGGAGATGATTCTATTGAAATTGAAAGACAAAGAGTTCTTAAGTCTCGAGTTTCAACTTAAAGACTTGGGGAATCTTTGATATTTTCTTGGAATTGAGATAGCAAGGTCAAAGGCATGAATTTCAATCTCTCAAACAAAGTATGTTCTTGATCTACTTTTTGAAGTCGGACTGTTTGGTTGCAAATCAGTCGAGACTCCTATGGAACCCAACCTTAAATTAAGAACTGATAAGGATGGAAAAGAGGTAGACAGGGGGAGATATCAACGGTTAGTGGGAAAACTTATCTATCTTTCTCACACTCGTCCAGACATAGCTTTTGGAGTAAGTGTTATTAGTCAATTTATGCATGCCCCTAGGGAGAGAAACATTTGGAAGCTTCCTACAGGATATTGAGATACTTAAAAGGGACTCTTGGTAAGGGGTTGTATTTCAAGAAAGATGTAAATCGAAGCATAGAAGTCTACACTGATGCAGACTAGGCATGTGCTGTTAATGACAGACGCTCCACAAGCGGTTACTACAGCTATGTTTGGGGTAATCTCGTGACATGAAGGAGTAAAAAGTAGTCTGTTGTGGCACGCAACAGTGCTGAATCTGAGTATTGAGCTTTGTCGCACAGAATATGTGAAGGAATGTGGTTACAACGACTAATGGGAGAACTAAAATTATCCTATACAAAACCTATAACATTATACTGTGACAACCAGGCAGCAGTTAGCATAGTTTATAACCCTGTACACCATGACCGTACCAAGCATGTGGAAATTGATCGCCGCTTTATTACGGAGAAAATTAACAAAGGGGAAGTTTGTGTTTCATATCTACCTACAAGACAACAAGTAGCAGACGTGTTAGCCAAAAGCTTGAGCAGAAAAAGGTTCGAAGAAATTATGGGCAAGCTGGGTTTGATTAACATCTACACTCCAGCTTGAGGGGGAGTGTTGGAATTCCTTAAATTAAGCAGATTTTCTACCTTAGTTCTAGGAATTTCCTTGTACTATTAGCCATAATCTAATTACTATTTTTTAGGGATAGGCTAATTTCTAGAGATTATTTCCTTTTTTATTTTTCTGCTATTTTTTTAAAAAGGCTGTATTCAGATTAGAAAAAACAGAATTATTTCTTCTTCCTAAACGTGTTCATGAAATTATTTTATGATCAAGCTAATTAGTTACACATCAGGAAGAGAAAGGACACACCTACATGATGATGGATTTGATTCTGTCTTTAAATTGGTATGGTCAATGAGCCCCAACCTATGCTTGTTATGTGAAGGCTCACTTTCTTTTTCATCTATATCTTTTATTCAAATTTTTATGTTTACTTCTTTATATGCTGCAAAATTTTAAATTGTGCATATTTGAACTGCAATAATGTTGCTTTCCTTATATGTTTTTGGCAGGTTTTATTATGATGTGCCCTCAACTTTTCATAAACTATAAGCTTAAGTCTGTGGCTCATTTACCCCGGAGGCAGATGACTTACAAGTTCCTCAACACCATCATTGATGATCTCTTTGCATTCGTCATAAAAATGGCAACACTTCATCGACTTTCTGTCTTCCGTGATGGTAAGATATAATTCTTATTCTTGTTTTGTTTTATTTTTTAATTCTCATGATTTGCTTGGTTTGGAGGATGCAAAAGAGAAGAGGAAAAGCTTTTAACCAATGGTTAAGCTACGAAATAGGAAGGTGGTTTTAAATGTAACCATTACAATACAGAAGTTTCCATCCTCCTCCTATTCCTCGTCTCCAAGCAAATTTGTTGTTTTTGGATTTATTATCCTAACAGACACAAAGGGCATAATGACTCATTATCAGATAATCTATTTGATTTTGTAAGGGGACATTAATTATGAAAGATCCTCAGTAAACCTTCATTAAGAAGAGGGGAAAAAAAACGGAAACTTGCAATTCATCAACTTGGGATGTGTATTTGAGATAAGTTCTAGTATAACCTTTTGTCTAATCAGCCATTATACTTTTACTTACTCAAAGGGTAAGAGCATGCATAGCTATTACAGTGTTTCTTGTCCTTCCTTTTACTCTTTGAAGATATTATTTGCTTTGAATTTATGTAATTGTACATAGAGAGATTGGGTATCTATAGACACAAATGCTGATCCTGTGTGAATATAATCCGAGTTAAAAGATCATTCTGAATTACACATGTTCTGTAAGTGTATTGTGTATTCCATGGATATCAGGTGTAATTCTCATTCTCATGTTTGTTTTACAGATCTTATATTTTTAATCTATCTGTACCAGAGGTGGGTATATCCTGTGTATAAGAAACGAATAAACGAATTTGGTTTTGGTGGCGAGGATGATCAGGCTCCTGGCAGTACATATATTACTACTGCCAATGAAGATGAGAAGAAAACCAACTGAACTTGGTTTGGCTGTTCTTTTTCCGTTGGTTTAGCTTTAGCTACTCTTTAGTGCAAAGAAACTTAAAATTTCACGACAGATGCTTTTCTAGTGCTTGCTTTAGAAATTTGGGTTGGAAAGAAGGAAAGAGACGGAGGTCTGGTTCCTCTCCGGAATTGCAATAGAAAGAGCTGCCGTTATTCTCAGTTTTTTAGTGCCATGTGAAGCTGGATAACATGGTTGTATCAAGATCCTCTTTTTGCTTAATTTTTAAATTTGATCAATGGGAAATTTGGTAATATTTGATCAATGGGAACTTAGTCATCCTAAGATTTAAAGAAATCATATTACATGACCCAGCATTTGCTGTGATGTTAGGTAATGATAAATCAGAATTCAAATCCATTTTATGATTTTGGTGTTTCTCGTTAGCCCCAAATGGTCCTGTTTCTGACATCGTCATCAACAAGACTCCCTTGTCGATTGGTTAAATCAAAAGTGGAGAAAAGGATTTAAATCTGAAACACCCTTAATTATAACTGTTAATCAATGAAACCCTTTTTGTCTCTTACCATGTCTTAACCATTGCAACTACTTTCCAACTTGTGTCACATGTCTTAATTAAATATTCATTCCAACATAACATCACAATTAGCAAACAAGTATTGAGTTCCAAGACATACCCTCTCTTTCATCCTATAAAAGCTAGGCCACTGCACGTTGAAAGAGAGAATAAGGCCAAACAAAATACGGTTACTATGCCAATGAGAAGAAGAGCTGCATCTAGCATATAGCTTCAATTCTGCAGACTCCAACAAACCCCAAATCTGTAAGATATTTCAAAAAAAAAATGTTCTCCATTTTGAAAGTCAAGTTGGAAGAACTACTAAGTGACTGCTAAAACCTTAGGGTTATTAAAAAAATGAGTACTTCACTCTATGGAATTATGTACAAATCCCAAGGTGATTTGCTTTACTTGGTTTACATATAGTTTCATGCTGATATTAAAGTTTGTGGTTAAAGTGAGTTGCAGCAACAAAGGAGGGGACAAATTGGTGTCGATTCTAGAGGCGTTTGATGTTGTTGGAGCTAGTGTCTCTTGCATCCCATGGAAGCCATTACTGTAGGTCAAGGACAGCAGATATATTACGCTTGGTGTTCTTGATGAAAAGCAAGGTAGGAAGATGCAGATGCGTGTAACATAGGAGGATTCCATTGATTAATGTTGTGATGTGATTGGAGTAAATGTTTTTGTATCTAATAACCTTGCTAGCTTCTCAATATTTCATTTTAACGACGATATGAAACCATAGAAACAAAATAACTAATTCCATAGCAGGGAATTGAACACGGGTCACCTGGTTAAAAGCCAGATATCCTAAACACTAGACAACAATAGACCATTGATATTTCTCTAAGAGTCATAGTAATTATATATGTCTACTTCTTCACTAAGCATCATGGTTGACCACATGTAATATTCGAGTTTGATTTCTCATCTAAATGTTTCTGATTTGGTTGAATGTTGGACTACTTTTGGGATTAAACAGACCTTGTTTCTGTATCTTGTTCCAGTAGGGCATAAACCTCGCAGACTTTCCAAAACCATGCTGTTAGAGATTGTTTCAGCCCATATATGCCTCTCTCAGCAGTACCTTGTTCTTGATTCCCCTGTTGTTCAACTTTGTATACCTTCTTCTAGGTCTCTCAATCCTGGATGGATCAAAACAGGGTGAGTGCAACAGTCCTCCTCCTGAAGATTTCATATTAATATATATTTTATATATTTTCTTTATATTTTTAATAATCAGCTTTCATCTTTTAAAATTTTATGAATTCACCCTTTTGATATAATATCATACTTAGGTCATCAATCTCTTATCTTCAAGTGATATCGAGATTAGGATAGTATTAGTTTATGCCAGGTGCAAATGCTTTAAGTGTTGCTTTAAACCATTCAACTGGCTTTAAATGTTTCAACTGACTCATTAGTTTACATTTAATTGGAAGATCTATATGTAGCTTGTTGATCTCTCTCTCTTTCTATATGTATATACATATGATTATGATGCACTGATGATTTCTTAAGAGATTTTAGTAGCCCAAATTTACTGAGGTTCTTAAATTTGTATGATATATTTACACAAATTTAGCGGAGAAATATTATTTCATCAACCTTGCTTGTTTTTATTACAATAAACACACGTCACTTTCCCATTGCTTACATGAAACTGGTTTTGGAACTAACTTTTGTCTTTGAATTTTTTCGGCATAATATCAGAAATTACCCCTAACGTTCAACAAAATATTCATTTTAACCTTTATTCTTTTTCAGAGCATTTTGACCTCCAAAGTTTTATTTTGGGGCAAAAAGATCTCTTTATGGATGAAAATTATTAGTTAACAAACGATTAATGCTCCAAAATAGGAGCCTTTTACCTAAAATGAAATGTTGAGGGTCAAAATGCTCCATAAAAAAGAATAGGGGCCAATGCGACTATTAAATCAAACATTAGGGCCTTTTTTCCCTAAAATAAATTGTAATAACTAAAATTTTGGTTAGTGACCAAAACATAAATTTTGAAAGTTTAGTGCCAAAGTATAAAATTGGAGAAAAGTTTACGGACCAAAGTGGTAATTTTCCCAAAAAGAATTTTTATTCCATAAATGGATAGTTTACTCTAGAGAGTGGGTTTTATGTAAAACAAATTCTTGATCCTGAATTTATGTTAAAAATTAGAAAGGGTTAAAGTCTGGTAAAAATTCGATAAATCAGATTGAATAGAAAATTTGAATGATGATAAATTAGGCTTAAAAATATTATTTTCACATTTTAAAGTGATGGAAAATAATATAAACCATTGGATTTGAGGATTTATTTCCATGTTCAATTTGGACCGTTGGATTAAGGTGGTAAGATTGAAAATTTTGGGAAGTTACATGGAGAAAATGGTAAAGGGTGATAATATTTTGTCCATATTTGACTTTGGAAAGATGATAAGGGTTATGTAGCTTGGTATGATGGTAATTACAAGGTTTCATTAATGGTAAAATGGTCTTTTCCCAATTAAATGAATTTTAAATTCATTTAAGCTTAAATAAAGGTAAATTAACATGAAATTATTCAAAATTTCATGAAGCTTGTTCATCTTTTCTCTTCCTTGTCAATGAGTCTCAACCCTAGGTAAGAGAAATTTTCTTTTCAAGTTTTGATCAATTTCCTTTGGATTTGGATCGAGCCCTGAAATAGAAAATTATTCTATGCAAAAAAGGCTATCATTTGGTACCATTTATGCATGCTAATCTTGTTTGATTTCAAAGATCCCAAATTTTAGGGTTTATGTTCACATTAAGGTTTGTGGATTTGATTATGGATTTTGAGGATTTTAAGGTTGTAGAATCATTTTCAAGCTTGTTTGATGATTAAATCATGGTCAAACCTCCTAGAAATGCATTTGTTAATTTTGTCTAAACCCTAAAATTAGGGGAAGTTTATGTTATGATGAAGTTTGATTAGGGCTTTTATTATAGAGATTTTATAAGGTTGAATAGAGGTTGATTTCATGCTCAAATCGGATCAAAATCGAGTAAAATCATAAAAACTCTAGTCTTGAATTTTCAATGCATTCGACCTAGGCTAAGTAGGGTGAGAAAAGTTTTGGAAAAAAGTATGTAGGGGATGGAAATGATGTAAGAGGTATTCTACAAGCCTTAGAAAAATTTGGGAACCATTTTGTAATTTTATGAAAGTTAGGAGACCTAATCAATAATTATGGAAAAGTTATTAGTTGTTGTGTAATTGTTCAATAATTGTTGTAATATGCTGTAAAATACTATTTGAGTGTTGAAATTGATGCTAGAATGTGAAATTGGATCAATTTAGAAGTTTAGCAAGTTTGGTGATTTTTATGCAATATTCAAATAGTTTGGGGTATTTTAAGATGTTTATGCAAGTAAATGTACTTGGTTGGTAATTATTTTAATGCTGGAATTTTGGTATTAAAATTTAAGTGGGTAAAATGGTAAAGGACCATTTTACATAAATTGGAAAATTTTGTGCCAATATTAAAATAATTCATAAATGTTAAAGTATTTTGATAGCGAATAAGTTTCGAATATACCTTATGGATTGTTTTTATTGGAATTTAATTATGTTATCACGATACTAACGTAAGCTTCGATATGTAACTGTGACTTTGTACAGATTGTGATTGACTTCGTGCTCGAAGCAAATATAGTATATAAAGGATCAAGTTTGCAACTTAGTGAGGCTAATCTTTTGAAATATGTAAAATGTCAAGGTGAGTGCAATGCATGCATAACATTATACATGAATGTTTTATACATCATTAGGAAGACTTGCGATAAGTCTACCAATTTATGTTGGCATAATATTTATGTCATTTATCATATTATTGACATGACCAAAGATGTCAAGGTTGAAAATATGATGCATTGATCACTAATTTACATGATGTTATTAAGGGTATGAACTGCTCAATGCCAAATTATATGAATATACATTGCCATGGATGAAATAAAATAGATGTATGCCCAAGTAAGTCATTGAAGGACAGGGTGTAGTTGGCATGTCATAGAGTCTAGCAACGACATGTTTAATTCAGCACTATAGTGCGCAAGAACACTTAGTGCAACACTATAGTGTGCAAGGAGACTTTGTGCAGGTTCAATTTAGTACTACAGTGTGCAAGGACACTTGGTACAATGGTGGGCACGACCTTATGTGCAAGCACTTCGGTGCTATATGACTCGAATACCCATGATCTTCATAGGTTTACGTTTGGGCTATGGTTTATTAGTAAAATTATTATATTTATATTATTATCAAGTTGATTATGGTAATATATTGGACAGACAGGTATGGTGATCTTATTGCATTTAAAAATGACATTTAATTACATTGTGATGTATTGCACTATTTATTATTTAAATTGCCTCACTAATTATATACTTAGCGTGTGATAATTTTCACGTATAGGTAAAAAGAAAGCGTAGGAGTAGCATCGGGGATTATATTTGCAGTATCAGTAAGACATCCTTTGATGTGATTTTGACTTAGTAGCATGTACCTTATAAA